TCATCACGACGTTCCTACTGCATGGTTTTCTCGGATAGACTCTAAAAATTCCCAAGTTTCGTCGGCATTCTTCTTCATGAAATCCTCTTGGCACATCGATTCTAAGAAAGTTTTTAAAGAATAATCCAATCCTTTATAGATTATTTGGCATAATCGCCATTTTTCGAGACCATGGTGAGTACATTGGATAAGAATATCTTTAAATCTGTCAAAATACTTCTAAAATAGCTCTCTCGTGATAACTTTAAAGTTCATGATGTTGTTTCTTAGTTTAACCGTTTTGTGAATAGGAAAAAATTTCTTTGAAAAACGGTGATAAATTCATCCCAAATTGAGATAGAATTTATGGGTAAGCTATACAACCATTTCTTAGCCTTGTCCTTCAGAGCAAATGTAATAAATCGGAGCTTGATCGCATCTTCAGATAGTTCTCTAATTTTAATCTTCAGACACACTTCCTCAAACTCGGAAATAAAGATATAAGCGTCTTCGGTTTTAATTTCTAAGAATTTTGAAAGCATGTTTGTGTAATGCGGTCTTAGCTCAAAATTAGTTCCATTTGTTTCAGGGAGCTTAATGCAAGAAGGGATTGCATTCCTAGTTGGATAACACATATTTTGGAGAACAGGTTGATTAGCCATTTCTTTAATTGGTTCAAAACGAATTAAACGATTGGTATTATCCCTAATCCAAGTTCGCATACACCAAAACAAATTCATTTTTTTATAAAAGAAAAATTAAGAGTTAAGAGTTTTTTTTAAGATTATAAGACAAAAAGGAGAAAAAGAAAAACCTAACTAAAACAAATCAAAACAATCACTTTTGTCAATCACCCTAAATTCTAGGGTTAAGCCTAACTCAGCTAGATCAGTTTCTAACTAAAAATTTTTTTAGTTAAAAGATTAAAGTTTACTCAGTCAGTTAGCCAGGTAAGGATAGTACTAGAGGGATATCAAAGATCAATTAAGTATCTCGTTCCTTACGGAGCGCTTTACGCAACCCCTAAACCTTGCGTTAGACACCAACTAATTCAAGTAAACTTGAACCAGATCATTTAGGGATTCCTTGTTTCTTAATGAGCTTGAATCCTTAGGGATCAACGTCTAATGAGATTTAAAATGCTTGGGTTTGTGTAGTGAGGAATTAATGATTTGTGGGCTAAGGAAAGGGTGATGAAATCCATCATCTTATCTTGATTAGGGGGTTTTGCCCTTAAAAATATTTTTAAATGTGTGTTAAATCAATATGCTTAAATCACTTGGGTGAATTCCTACTAACTATATGCAATGCACCCCTAGGAATTAAAATCGACTACAAAAGAATGATAAAAAGAAAATCTTTATTTTTTTATTATTTATGGTTAACAATTAAACATATGTGAGAAGATAGCTCTTTTTTGAATTTATTATCTTGTTAGTAATTGTTCAAGTGGGGGATAAATTTTTATTATGGTCCACGAAAATAAAATTTTTTTTTTAGATCCTAATTGTCACTAATTATGTAGAACTAACTAGAATGGTGGATTGAAAATACTAGAAAGAAGAGTTACCAAAAGTAAATTTTCAAGTCCTTGATCTCTAATCCGTGATTTTCAAGCTCCAAGTGGTTCCTTCACATGAAAAACACACAAGTTAAAGACCCAAAATAATTAAAATCCTACTTAATAGCACCATTCTCCGGCAACGGTGCTAAAAACTTGATGGGGGTCTAAATGATGTCTAAAGGTTGCAAGTATACAACTAATCAATTTATAGTATAAAAGTTATCGATCCCACGAGGAAGGTGTTTGTAAGAGATAATTAGAATCGGTTTTATTGTTGTGTGCGTGATAATTAGGGGTGATGATTGAGTATGATTGTAGTGAGATATGATGAGTGTTATGAATATATGCAAAACAATAAAATGAAATTGAGAGGAGAGAAAGGAATTAAAGAAAATAAGAGGAAAGAAAAAAATAATAAAAAATCAAGAATAAAAAGAAAATTCAAGAAAGTAAAGATGAAGGATTCAATTAAAGATATGAGGAATCTAGAATTGAATCCACTAGCTAATTTCAATTATAAATTATGAATCATTATCTTTTTATCACATTTTACTTTAGATTTATTAAACATAGACTATCAAACCATTTAAGGAAAGTATAACCTATCAAATTATCATCTAAGCAAAGTTACTATTCATGAAAAGGATAACAATTAGATAGTAATTCTAGAATTCATAAGTATAACCTATCAAACCACTTAAGATAAACATAGATCATCAAATTCTTCTTCTACCAATTAGTTCTCTAGTTGATTATCCTACTCATGATCATTTTAAATGCAAGATCTATGTTCCAAGCTGGGAATGATCAATATATATTGCCCAGCTTTTGGGGGGTAGAAAAGTTAAGATTTACTGAAAATAGGAATTAGTTAGGATTTATTTTCTGCTTTAATTAGTTATATAAATATCTTCTATATTTAGTTATTTCCTATTTTACAGGGATTAAAATCCCAAGAATCAAGGAACCACAATTCGGTTCCTAAGGTGTATAAATGGGGGATTAAGCCCAGTCCCAAATCAATGAGAATAAAATTCAGTTTTTCTCACACTTCCACACTCTGTTAGGCCTATCTCTATTCGTTCTTGCTCCATGAATTATGTCTACCCAATTGGTGGTGACCTTTATGGTGAAATTACCTGAATTAGTTTCTCTTCTTTTATCCTCAATAATATAGCAAGATCTAACTTCATGTAATGCGATCATTTTGTCTTATCCTTTAATGTGTATTCAAACAATGCTCCATCGTAATATTCTAATTTCTGTTGTTTTCTGGTGTATTTAGCACCATGTACTCTACAACTCTTTCATGCTCTCAAACCAATTTCGGTTAAATTGCTTCAGAGCGTTTCATGCTCTCATTTCCAAAGAAACCACTATATTTGGTGGTGGCTTCATATTAAAAAATCTGGAGGAAACATACTTAATATCAAGGTTTTAAATGTCGGCCGACATGTCCGACATGTCGGCCGACATATCGGTTTGAGGGCTTGACCGACACGACATGGACGTTTTCAACTCGTATGTCGGTTTTTAGGGCCAAATCGGAAATATGAGGGTCATATCGGGCATATCGGTCTATTTTTTAGCTTTGAAAAATCGACCGATATGGTACTTTTTTTTAAGGTCTGTTTTTTGTTATCGGATTTGGGTTTAGTGATAATTCCCAAACCCGTTTGACCCGTTCTCATGTTTAAGGGTTTCTTATGAACCCGATAGAAAGAATTTATAAACCCAAATCCATATATTATGTACTTTTTATATGTTTAGTCTATAGAATTTATAAAGTATGCTTATATTGAATTTATGAATGCTTAGATTACATTTAGGACATGATATTATACATATGCGCACTACCCGATATGACAATCCGATATTTAGTCAATGTCCCCCGATATATCCCCGATTTCCGCTATCCGACATGGATTTCAGTCATCTGACATGAACCCGACATCCGACATTTAAAACCTTGCTTAATATTTCAAGTAATTAGTTGTTTTGCAACATCTAGTTTCTCATGATTGTTGTTGACGTGCATTGCCAAGCTACAATAAGATATTAATTACAGCGAAGTATGCATTGAAGAATTCAATATTTGTTGTCCCAGTTTTATCTTTGTGTGACAATTTCTTATCATATGGGGATATTTTGTGCAACTAATTCTATTTGTATCACCTTGACAATGCATTAAATTATCACATTCTGTCTTCCATATTCTAATTGATGCAGGACACAATCACCGTTCATATTTGATTCAAATTGAAGATAGATTTGTTATGATTTTAGGTTTGGTTTTGGTTTTAGATAGGTGAGAATTAGTTGCTTTGTTTAGTTGTTTTGATTTGAATTGTGTTAGGATTGAGTTTGTTTGATTATTTTATGGTTAAGATTGAATTAGTTTTAGAGATAGGATAAAGTTTTGAATTTATTTTAGATAAGAACTCCAAACTCTAGAGGGAGGAGATTTCTGTAATGCAGTGGAGAGATTATGAAGAATTTGTGAAAGTTTGAGTAAAAAAAATCTTCTGTGATTTTTCTAACTTTTCCGTTCCCCGTCACTAATACTCTACAGAGTACTAAAGCAGGTTTTCTAGACCTAGAGCCTGTTTTCTTTCTAAACCTCCTTTCAATGATTATCATCATCTTCAAAGTTCTGCAATCATATTATCTCTAGATTCTGCTCTCGCTTTCTGATCTTCTACTGATCTCCTTCTCGACATCAATGTTCACCAGGAATCTCCCTTGTCATTCTATTTGTTTGCTCCAGTTTTTCTTTCTTGTCTGGTTTAGTGGTGTGGTCCGCTCTCAGCGTCTTGCTTTCGGTCTTCTGTTCAGCTCCTTGACATTAATGTTTTTTGGAAAGGTTCATTACCCTTCTATCTAGTTGCTCTGCCTTTTCCCACTTATACAGTTCACCTTGATGAGATTCTTCATGCACTATCATCGAACTTGGGTTGCTCATGCCTACCGCGACTCCGATAGGGCTTCTTGCCCTATTTTGTATTGTTTCACCAGAGACTATTGAATCTTCTTTGGTACCAATCCAGTTTCATGGAAATCAAAGAAGCAACAAAATGTATCTCCTCTACAGGAAATCTTGTTCGTGCTTTTCACTCTCAGCTTGAGAGTGTTGAAGAGTCCAATATTTGCTGTAATTGGTTCCTATCATTTATGGATATTTGATTGCAACTGATTCTATTTTGTTACTCCAACACTATAAGCATCACCTAGACAATTACTAAAATTATCATGTTTTCTCTTTCATATTCTATTTTCCATAGTATGAAAGTAGAATTGTTGCATCATTATACTGCAACATATCTCAGGAGAACATATGTATCATTAGCTTCTCTTGTCAATAATTTTCTGTCCTATTATTCCTATATTGAATATGTTATATTTAATGTCTATGACCTATAATTTATTACTCTCAGGCTGATGGGTTTTTTTTTTACAGGCTACTCGTCTATTTGGCCTTGGTGATGGATTCAGTGAGGACGCAATGCTAGGGAAACTTGAGGGAATGAAGGATGTCATTGAACAAGTGAACAAGCAATTCAAAGATCCGGTTAGATTTAATGCTTAATGTTTTACTGGTTAAGCCAAAAGAGTATTGTCATGTTAGGGAACATGGGAAGTCCTCACGAATCACCACATTGGTTGGAATAACAAATTTAGCTATGACATTTAACGCAAATCCTAAAATATTAAGTTTTGAGCAAGCTTGAAATTCCATATAGGTCACAGTTTCACTTCAGTTTTATTTGTATGTCATAAGTCTCGCTGTTTAGATAATTTCATATCTGAAGTATCAATACATGAATTGAGTTGGAATTTTATTTCATGTTTGTAGTTCTTTTTAAATTTTCAAATACAATTCTATTAGATTAATTTTTGCTACTTCAGAAGTGCATGGTAGAAAGATCTTATCTCATACTTAAGATATGCCTGAACAATCATACTTAAAGAGTGGCGTAACCAGGCTTCTCAATCAAATCACTATTAAAGACTTAGATCACCAAATGGGAGTCTGTGAAAGAAATTGATGATGCTAAACTGTTGTGGGTTTTCTTCCCAGCTAATGAGAATTTTAAATCAATTTTTCTTGGTTAAATTCATGCAGCTTATGCTTTATGTTTTACTTTTATTCTTTTTTCCTACACTGATTAATTATCATTTGGACAGTGGCATCGACGGTTGATCGCTAGTCCATAATGATTAGCAGTTTGGTTTTGTGTTACACACTATTAAAGGGTTCTTGCATTTTTGACAATGCTGGTTATTGCAATGCAATTTCACCATTTAAAGTCAAATCGGGAAGATATTCTATTTGCTTTAGCTCTAGGTTTGTAGACTTCGAGAGCATCAAATTGCAGCTAACATAAACCAACCCTTAGGATTAGGCAGTTGGCCCCTGGTACTTCCGTGACTGGTCTACTTATTCATTGAATTGACCGGGGCTGAACTATTGATACCGTGAGATCAGCCACTACTAATGTTGTAGACATATTGAAATTGCTGTACTTATTAAAGACTAAAGACTAAGCGTGAGTGTTGTTTGTTTATAACTTAACCAGAATGTGATCACATTCTAGGAGCGATGTATAAAATGCTTCTTTTTATCTCCATTGTCTGCTGCGACGTCATATATGAGACAGAAACCTGTTTGGGGGACATCAAATATAGATAAATCAGTCACATAAGGGTTTGCATGAATGTACATTCAGCTCATTCCTGGTGATTGGAACAACATCACCAGGACAAGATCAGCCAAGATCTTGACCTTGTTAAGCGTTTTCTTGCTCTCAACTTCAATGATCTAATTAAGGGTATCTGTTGAAAATCTGTGAAAGGAATTACAAAAAAACCCTAGGTCATGGGATCTTCTTTCGATGGAGTTCTCAATCTTCCAGCGTCCTCTTTTGCAACAGGACGATCGAGTTGACAAAACCCTAATTTCTCTAAGAGGATTTATTGCGGTCTAGCGATGGAGGACTCACATAAAGCTCTGGAGTTCGGTGCATCTCTTCCAGTTCACCTTCCCACTAGCCATAACGACACCCCTTTTATTTTCCCTGTAGAAGAAATCAATGCTATTTTCACCCCCTTTTCAACTTCATATGCTGGGTAAATCGTCCACCTCTAGCTTATTTGAAAGTTCTTCTGACCTTGCAATGACGACTTCGAAGAATTTTTCACGGGAGCTATCGATCACAGGCATGTTCTAGTTCGATTGTTATCTGAATCAGATTTTTGGAGGCATAGTCGAGAAATGGCTGACATGAAGGGCTCAAGGTTGCGAGTTTTTTGTTGGTCCTCAAATTTCATACCTGGATTGGAGCCAACAAAAGTCCCAATTTGGGTATCTCTTCCTTGCTTACATGTGCATTTATCTAATGAATGTGCTTTCCAATCTTTTGTAGGAACAATAGGTCGTTTCCTTCGGCTAGATCACTCTGTTAAATCTTTCACATGTCCAGAGGCTGTTGAGGCAGATCTAGCATCCCCAATACCGCATTCTATTTGGATTGACTGGTTAGAGGTGGGTTTCTATAAGAAAGTGATCTACAATAATTTGCTGAGGTTTTGTTTGATCTGTTCGAAGGTGGGTCACTTTGTCAAATCTTGCAGATTGAAGAGATCTTCTCAACAAGAGTCTTTTATGGTCGAAGAATCCTCCTCTAAAGGGACTAATACAAATGTTAAAAGTTCCATCGGGCATTTCCAGTGATAAGGTCCAAATTTATTGGGACAAATCAAAACTTTCAAGTAGCAAATGAAGTGTATGCATCGAAGAGGGGGAGGTAATAAATTCTGAAAGGGGGAAAAAGATCTAAATGCTAATGTTTCTTCTTTAGTTCCATCAATTAAAATTTCTTTGATTACACCTCAAGCAAGCACAATGACTCAGCTCTCTCCACAAAGGAGTGAGTTGTTAAGAAGTTAAGACTGAAGCACCTTCTAAACAACAAATCAGTGGAAAAATCTCTAGATTTCTTGTATTAAATCAACACCCATCCCATTTAGAGGGTGTCGAGGTTTGTGCTAGATTGGTGGACGTTCTGTTGTAGAAAAATCAGATACCATGCCTCCTAGTTATCATCCTCCTTTTGGTGAAAAATTTCCGTGTGCCATGATGCTTGGAGTAGATGGGCTCTGTTTTTTCAGGAGATTCTGATATCTCATTGGCCTGAAGAGAGCAATCCAAATAAGGACTCTTTACTCCTGAGTAACTCTTTTGTTGCTGCTTAAGGGGGCCACAAAATATTATAGAGGAAGTTTTCAGAGAATCGGATGAAGGTCACACTCAGGATGAAGATTTGAATATTCGTACCCATCAGATGCTAAAGAAGAGGAAAGATTATGTCAAGCAATATTGAAAAACTCTCTTCTCCAAACCTTTTGAACCTAGATCCCGAAAGGTAAAGTTTCATTTAGCCGCAGAAGTATTTGATATTGATGATTAGTTCTGTATTCTGGAACATCAGGAGGGTTAGAAAACTTGCTTTCATTTTCTATATTGCATGCTTTGGTTAGTTTACATGAACCTATAGAGATCCATACTTTATAACCTATGGTTTCTGCTGCTTGAGCCTCTGTGATTAGTAAAACCCAATGTTACAGAAAGCGCTAGGCGGACTAGGTGTTAGACCCGATGGCTAGAGCCTAAGTGGAAGTTTGGGCAGGGACTAGACATTTTCCTACCTTTTAGTTTTTAATTACAATTACTGATAGTAAATACTAATGTTATAGAAAGCTGGACGCTGGCCTGACACCAAGATATATTTCTTAAGTGGTGGTGAAGGAGGTTTTGCTGAAGGTCGGGAGAGGTACATGTGTTCATAGTTGAATTTTGGAGGATGTAGAGAGTACAATGGAGGAAATCACAATCAATGCCTAAAGGGTGCAGTCCATGTAAGCAGACCATAGTCCCCTAGGCGGTCCCATAACCCAAGTGGGTAAACTAGGTATTGCCTAGGCACTAGACACTAAGTAAACGGCTAAGGTACCGCTTAGACCTGGGCGTATGCCTAGGCAGGTAAGGTGGAGGTTTTTTAAAATATTGATAGAAAAAGCTAAAATACGAATATGATCAGCCTTTAATCTTGCCAAGTAAATAGAACATGATCAGGCTTTTTAAAACATTGAAAAAAAATTTTACTCTTGAAGTTTGGTAAACCTAAAGTCAATTACTTGGCAAGATTAAAGCCTGATCATGTTCGTATTTCAGCGTTTTTTTGGATATTCAGTAGAAGTCTTTTAGGCTGGTGTAAGCTCTTTTGGTAAACCTAAAGTCAATTACTTGGCAAGATAAAGGTCAATCCAGATTTACCCTTGAAGTTTGGTAAACCTAAAGTCAATTACTTGGCAAGATTAAAGTGTTTTTCAATCCAGATTCACTCTTGAATTCTTTTAGGCTGGTGCAAGCTCTTTCAAATTTCAGAATATGTGGCTTTAGAACCAAATTTTCTAGATATTCTGTAGAAGTTTTATAATTTTTCGTTATTTGATTCTCTTTTAAATTTATTTCATTGGAAATTGAAGGGGCTTAAAATTTGTTGAATGACTGGAACTGGAGCTATTTTGGAAATATTCACAACAAGATAGCATAGTAGATGAGGTTGTAATTCAGGCAGAGATGATATTACAGGCTAGTACTTGCATGGCTATGCATGCAAACCATGATGACTGAAATCAAAGGTAGTTATATGCTGATAGGCTAAGTGGAATTAGCAGAACTGAGCTTTTGATTCCATAATATCCTTCTACGTTTTAAGGCTTGTCTTAATCTGATAACACCATTTGAGTTGGCTAATAACACATACGTTATAGGTAGCTAGTACTTGTATGACAGTGCATGTGAACCATGATGACTGAGATCAAATGTAATTATCAACATGTGAACCAGTTTCTAGGAGAGGTTTGAAGATTAAAGGTGATAGCCCACTGCCTTCTTACGCTATACTTTCCTTGGCATATATTACTTGCTAGTTGAAGTGTTTTACGTTTTATTATTGTTCTACATGTAAACACGGTATCTCTGTCCTCTGTGTTTTCCTCAAAAGGTGGAAAAATGTAGGCAAAGAAGGTGCTAACTGTCAAAGCAGTTATGATAAGAGTTGCAGAGATTGTGAGAAAATCTGTGTTACGGATTTATTGTATAGCCACCGCCCCATCTTCTTCCCACCATAGCCTAGGCCCTCTCCTCTGCACTGTTAGTCCACAAACCACCACCCACCCTTTAAAATCATGCATCCAGACCCGCTTCTAAACCTGAAACAGCTCCCGAAGTCCACAAGCCGCCCCCACATTTGTGCGCTCCTCCTTCCTCTTAGTCCTGCAACCCACCCTCTATGTTCGCTCAAAAAATCTCTCCATGGACTTAAGCAGTCTCCTCGAGCCTGGTTCAAAAAGTTTGGAAAATGAGTTTGCTCTAATGGCTTTTCTAGAAGTAAGGTAGATCTAGAAGTAAGGTAGATCATTATGCCCTTTTCACCAAAAAGGGAAATATGGGCATCGTGGTCTAATTAGTGTATGTAGATGACATTATCGTCATTGGTAGTGACTCACATGGTATTGCAGAGATTAAGCAACAACTATCGCAAACTTTCCATACAAAGGATCTTTGTCCTTGTCCACTTCGTTACTTGCTTGGTATTGAGGTCGCCCGTAATAAGGACGTTATCTTCCTTTCACGAAGGAAATATATACTCGACATTCTTACCGAGACAGGAATGTAAGGATGTCGACGTAGTGATACATCTATAGACCCTAACATTAAGTTTTCTGCTTTTACTACTGATCCCCCATTCATTAACCCAGGACAATATCATAAACTTGTTGGGAAGCTCATATACCTTTTGATGATCGGAATAAATATTGCATATGCAGTTAGCAAGGTTAGTAAATTCATGCAAGTACCTACCATCACCCACTGGGAAGCAGCTATTCGCATTCTTCGATATCTTAAGAAAGCCCAGGGCTAAGGTCTTCTCTTCAAACCCGGTGATTCCGTTACCTTACGAGGATATTCGTATGTTGATTAGGCAGGATCTGCAGATGATAGAAGATCCACTAGGGGATACTTTGTACTTCTTGGAGGAAACTTAGTATCTTGGAAAAGTAAAAAGCAGTTAGTGGTTGCTCTCTCTAGCGCAGAGGCTGAGTATAGAGCAATTGAACATCTAGTTTCTGAGATCTTATGGTTACGATCTCTTCTACGAGACTTGAACAGTCATATATCATCTCACACTCCTCTCCATTGTGACAATCAGTCGGCCATCTACAATCTTAAGATTCCAGTATTTCATGAGCATACCAAACACATTGAAATTACTTGTCATTTTGTTCATGATGAATGGGTGAAGAAGGTGATTTCTTTCTCTCATGTTCGATTTATTAAGCAACTTGCTGATACTCTCACAAAGGCATTACCTCCGAAGCTTTTTCACGCATTCATTGGGAAGCTTGACTTCAATAATATCTACCCTCCAGCTTGAAGGGGAGTGTCAAAGTAATTATAGTGAGAATTGCAGAGGTTGTGAGAATCAATCTGTTTTACAGATATACTGTTAAGATAATAGGTTTGTTGTTAGGATAGTATAAGATCCTATTTGTTGAGATTAACAGAATTCTAGATTCGTTGAATCTGAACTCTCTTGTAGTTATATATAGCCCCTTGGGCTTCTGTGAATCAATCAATAAAAAGAAGAACCTCTACCTCTCTGATTTCAACAATAACCATTACGTGTAAAGATGTAGCAATGCTCATGCTTCTATTGGAATCTATTGGTTTATCAGTTCCTCGTTTGCATCTTAAGTTGCTTTTTCCTTTCCAAAGAAAATTTGTAAATTGTTCTCTCCACCTCCTGTCTCACATAGCAACTGTCCTTGGGCATGTACTGCACATAGTTATATCAATGTATCCAGTCCTCTTTACCCTTCTCTGTAAATGTTTTCTCTAAATCTACTGAAAATTGCGGCAATTTGTTACTGTGTTGAAATCATAAATTGGAGCCCTTTCATCTGCGTATATGTACATTTATTCATTTGCTTCTTTTTGGGTTATATGTGGGTTCTTCCTACATCATTTGCATGCACTAAGTACTTTCATCCTGTAATGTTGCACATAGGTGCTGTAGATATATAACTAACCTGGGGTCCATGTTCTTGACAGGACTTGACGACTTTTGTTTGTGTTTGTATACCTGAGTTTCTTTCTCTCTATGAAACAGAGAGGTTGGTGCAAGAATTAGCGAAGTTTGGGATAGATGCCCACAATATCATCATTAATCAAGTACTTTTCGATGATGAAGGTAAAGTTAAATCAGAACCAATTACAGGGACTTATTGAGTAGTCTGTCCTCATCCATGTTGCATCATTTAGATGCTCCTTTCATCCTAAGGTAATATAAGTCTGGTTTCTTCTTGCAGCTGTTGAATCCAAGTTACTGAAAGCACGCATAAGGATGCAACAGAAATACATAACTCAATTTTATATGTTGTATGATGACTTTCACATAATCAAATTGCCTTTGCTTCCAGAGGAGGTAGCAGCCTTCTGAGTTATTCAAGTCTTTTTCAAGAGTAATTTGTTGCATTCCTGTCTCTCTCATCTCTGACTTTGTAGGTTTGTGGGGTTGAAGCGTTGAAGAATTTTTCTGAAGATTTCACAAGGCCATACCAACCATCTTTAACCCGAGGATCCATTGAAGAGCTGGAACAGCGAGTATCCCTCTTGAGATCACAACTAAAAGAAGCAGAATCGGAACTCCAAAGGGCGAAGAAAGGCAAAGAAAAAGCTTGATCTTGCATCACTGGACCTTTCTCGCTTTTCTTGAAATTATTAAGAGCTGATGCATAAAGCCTAATCAAAAGATTGTATATGTAAGTGGACTTTGGTGTTCTTTTTTGACTGAAATAACAGGGTGAAAACCCTGTTCATTTGAGAATCTTATTGCAAACCAAACAAAGTACATCACAGCTAGTTGTAGACTCACAAGGGGTAAAGCAGACCCTCTGCGACTCTACAGCTATCAGACCCATATTACATACTTACTTACAAGGGATACATAAACATCACTAGAGCACATAGAGATTAAGGAAAAGATAGAAAGTCTCATCAGTTTTTCCAATACAAAAGGGAGTAACCATCTAACAGAGTTTATGGAGAAGCCTGAGTTGGTGGACTTGGGGAAAAGTGAACCCCAGAAGCAACTGCGTTATTCTTTGCTAGCTCCTGAAGACTAATGTTGATGGCAGCTCTCCGGAGTCTCCTTGTCAACCTCTCCCTAGCAGCACCTGCCCAAAGTATTGTATATCTCCCAATATTAGAGGCAATGACAGCAGGATTAGATTGGCTATCCTTAAAAATTAGAGAGTTTCTACTAAACCAGATCCACCAGCAGGTGCATGGTAGCAGTATCTTCCAAATAGTTCGGATATCCTTGCAAAGATTGGGAGATTTATGGAACTCAAAAAGCTCTTCCATAGACTGAGGCCAACTATTTGGTGAGATAGAGGGTAAGATAGAGGACCAGATAGCGCGAGCAAAAGGGCATTCAATAAAAAGATGAACATGAGTTTCAACACCAGTTAAACAGAAAGAGCACCTCGGGTCCCCAGTCCAGCCCTTAATGATCAAGTTTGCCTTGGTGTTCAACTTCTTGTTTGAGATGATCCAGTAAAGAACTTTGACCTTGATAGGAATAGAAGTTTTCCAGATCATACTAAAAAATTTAGATTTAATACCTCCAGAGTTGACGAAGGAATAGAGGGACTTAACTGAGTAAATTCCCGAAGGATTGTGTGGCCACCAGAGCTTATCTGGAGTTGGGGAGATACTGAGGTTGGAGGATGCTAGAAGGGTAAGAAGGTGATGCTTGTCTAACCTTTCTGATGGAGAAATTCCTCTTCTGATAAGAGGATGCCAAATCCAGACGTTGTTTAGAAATCTGCCTTGAGATCTGATGCTGCAGTTCTGAGAAAGAGCAAGATGATATGCTTTTGGAAATAGACTGCAGAGGGAGTTTTGCGCAATCCATTTATCATGCCAGAAACTACCAGCTTTGCCGTCCCCGATGTTCCACTTAATCAGGTTGAAGAAGGTGGATTTGATGGAGGATAGATCTTTGCAGAACCTTGACGCCGAGCACTTAGGTGGATGAGCAAAAGGGTTAGAATCATCTTTAGAGTAGACAGAGAAGAACACTTTGCTTATTAAAGAATTTCTGTCAAAAATTCTCCATAACCATTTAGAGAGGAGAGCTATGTTGAAGTTTTCAGTGTCTATAACCCCAAGACCTCCTTCAGCCTTGGACTTACAGACTTTTCCCCATTTGATAAGGCATTTGATGTTCGAATGAGATTGGCTACCGTTCCAAAGGAAATTTCTTCTGATTCTGTCTATAGCATTAATTAACCATTTCGGCAACTTGAAGAAGGACATATAGTAGAGGGGGAGAGAAGATAAAACTGAATTGAGAAGAGTTAGTCTTCCGCCGATAGAGAGGGACTAGTTCTTCCATAACGAGAGTTTCTTTTTAAAAGATTCTAGAAGAGGTTGCCACTCTTTTTTGGAGAGTGATCCTCTTTTGAGAGGAATGCCCAAGTATGAAAAAGGGAGAGAGCCAACAGAGCAACTGAGGATCTCAGCTAGCGTCTTACCTTTATGGGGAGATTTACCGAGGTAAAAGAGATTGGATTTGAGGGTATTAACTCTGAGGCCTGATATGTTAGCAAAAATAGTAAGAATAGTGTTGAGAGTGGCCATATCAGAGCGGGAGGCCCTGGAGAAGATGATGGTATCGTCCGCAAACTGAATAGTCCTAATGGAGTTAAGCTGCCCTTTCAAATTTAAGTCAGATAAGTCTCCCGCTGCAGCACTGCAGTTCAACATTTTGCTGAGAACATCTGCCACCAGTAGGAAGAGCAAGGGAGATAAAGGGTCACCTTGTTTGAGGCCCCTATAACATCGGAAGAATTTGGTAGGGGAACCGTTCACTATGACGACTGATTTAGAGGATGACAGAATGTGATGGATCCAGAGGCACCATTTAGGGCCGAAACCCCTGGCTTTGAGGAGAGAGAGAAGGAATGACCAGCTAACACAGTCGAATGCCTTATAGAAGTCAACCTTATAGGCACATATCTCTTTCTTCCCTGAAGAGCAGAAGTTGATCATTTCATGACCAAGAAGAAAAGAGTCAAGAGATGATTTCCCAGATTGAAAAGCTGATTGAGAGTTGTCAATAAGAAGGTGGAGAGCTTTTCTAAGTCTACTAGCCAAGATTTTGGAGAATATCTTGCAGGAACTGTTAATGAGACTAATGGGGCGAAAATCCTTGGGAGAGGAAGCTCCATCTGATTTGGGAATAAGACAGATGTGTGAGTAGTTGATATTTTGTAAAAGATGGGGATGGGAGTGAAGGCCCTGAATGAATTCAATAACATCAGCTTGAACAACAGGCCAAAATCTCTGAAAGAAGAGAATAGGAAACCCATCAGGCCCTGGAGATTTATCGGGGTGTAAGTCGAAAACAGCCTCTGAGATTTCTTAGGGGGAGAAGGGGAGGTCTAGAGGAGAAAGATCATGGTTGTCATTGGGGTAAAGAAGACCCCAGTTAGGCAGAAGTTTGGATGCAGGGGGTTGGTCAAACAGGTTTGAGAAGAAGGAGAAAAAGGTTTGTTTGATATCACTGACTGAAGAGATAATGGAGTTGTTGATAAGGAGGTGGGGAATATAGTTTTTTCTACGGTGATAAGAAGCTACTTTATGGAAGAAGGCAGAGTTGTTATCTCCTTCTTTTAACCATTGGATGCGGGATCTTTGCTTCCATTTGATTTCATCAGCTTTGGCAAGAGCTAGAAGCTGATCTTTCAGGGCTGATCTGAGCTGGAGTTCTTGAGGGGATAAACTTCTAGACTCTTCACTAATGTTGAGAGAGTGAATGTGAGATGAAAGGTTAGAAATGGACTGGGATAAGGAACCAAGACAGTTTTTCCTCCACCATTTGATTCTTTTTTTGATAAGTTTGAGTTTGAAAAGAAGAGGTATCAGGGTATCATTCTTCAAAGAAAAAGATTTCCAGCAAGATTCTACGAAGGTTGGGAAAGATGGTAAAGAGAGCCACATCTTTTCGAATCTGAAGGGGGAAGGCTGAAAGGAGGATGAGTTAGTATCCAGCACAATTGGGCAATGGTCTGAGCACGGAGATGGGAAAGCAAACTGCACCATCAAGGGGAATTTGGATTCAAAATCCATGGAGATTAAAAATCTGTCCAACCTGGCAAGCGATGGGGAGGATCTATGATTAGACCAAGTGAATTTTCTACCGCTAAGTGGTAGATCTGAAAGAAGAACAGAGTCAATGAGATTTTGGAAAATATTCATATCTCTGATGGAACTGGAGCGACCACTTCTTTCATCAATGCTAAGAGTCATGTTAAAATCTCCAAAAACCACCCATGGGAGGACATGAGAGTCTCTAATTCTTTTTAGTTCCCACCAACATACCTCCCTCTCAGACGAATCGCATGGGGCATAAATGGAGGTGGCTACAAAACTCCAATTTGATGGTTTATGGGTGAGGGTGGCCGATACAGAGAATATATCAGAGGATGAGGAAGAGCAGGAGAAAAGGTCGTCGTCCCATCCCAAGAGGACACCTCCCCTGGAGTTATGGGCGTCAAGAGAAATCCAAGAGGAAATATTTTCCCCCCCAGGGATTTGAGAAGGAGGGGAATGGGAGAAGACAGTTTAGATTCTTGCAGACCGACAAGGTTGATTTTGGCTAGGGAAATACACTCCATGACCAACCTACGTTTGGAAGGGTTGTTTAACCCTCTAACATTCCAGGAACCGATATGCATGGAAACAGACATTGAGCAACTTGAGAGAAAAGGAAGACTCATACGTGAGGGGCTACTCCGGACATCGAATTGTGGATGTCTAACAACCCTAGAGGGTCTATAGGCTCTTGGATGCCACAGTTCACAGATATTTCTTCCAATTTCTCCAACTCACAGGAATGAAAAGGGGGAGTGGAGACAGAGGTTGATGATTTGGGTTTAGAAGTACCTGAATACTTACCCTTCTTCGCCTTGGAGAGATGATTTCTGAAAGGCAGAGACATATGAATACTGCTAGCGGCTTTCTTTTTGAGCCTCTTGGCCTTGCTATTTGCGAACTCGAAGCCTGGAGGGGGATCGGATGAAGAGGCTAGATCCATTGAGTCCGAAGAGCTAATCTGAATGGCTCCGTCTCCTTTGTAGGGGAGGGAGGGGGCATCTTCTAGGTTGGGGAAGATCAGACTGCTGCGGGTCTGGAGGATGGGGCAGATTGGAGACCACTAAGTGGGGGAACTGCTGGTTCCTGACTGGATGTGACGGGGCTGTGGATGGGGCTCCCTCTTTGCGGACAAAAGCTTCAAAAAGATCACGGTCTTTGCCTAGCTCCGCAGGGAGAGGGTCCCCCGCCATTCTAAGCTTGACCACACCTTCCAAAATGTGAACATCATTTGGGGATTCAAACCGAAAAATGACTTCTTGAGGGATTTCGGTTGGATCTCGGACATGCAGCATAGCTTTACAGTTCCTAGCTTCTCTCTTAAGCAGGATGTCATCAGAAAAGGAGATGACATCTCCTATGTCCACGAGAATGTTGGTGATAAACTCCGAGTCCCGGAGGTGGATGGGGAGTTCAAGGATCTCTACCCAGACGTAGAAAAACTTGGGAAGAACTTTGAGGCCTGTAGATTCAGACCACCGGGAGAAGACGTCCCCGAACTTTCCCAAGTTGGAGAAAGGTTCGGAGCAGGCGAAGTCTAGGGTCTCCGCGTCTGGGAACTGAATAAAGTATGAAGATTCCGCCGTTTGCCTAATCACATAGGACCATTTTTCTACCTTGAAGTAGGACTCTAGGTTCTCTACCAGCTCAACATAAGAAGGGTTACCCAC